ATACAATGTTATCAGTCGCACTCTTCCTAATTTCTTCATCATACCAATCTAGATTGGGTTTATACAATCTCTTGTCTCCAATAAATTCTAAATAGTTAATCTTCTTTTTACAATAAAAATACTTCAATTACTCTATGCTAGCCATCAGCTAATTCATATAAATTGTTTGTGAGAATGTCTAATAGGGAACTTTATTATATGATGCAAAGATAAAACTTGATTCTTTGTAGTTCTAATGATGATAGGCAGTAAACAATAAGGAGGAACATTGCAGCTGGCGTCACTGCTATTTATTTGGATCTTTGGTATTGAATTTTTATTGTATGGTAATGTAAATGGGAGGCGGAGTGTCTCTATAGCTAACATTTTTTTATATTAAAAGGTTAAAAGTAATATGCAAATATGGATTTATACATTGGTAATATAGTACTACAACAACACCTTAATTACATGCTCTTGATATGCAATTGTCTCTCCCTTTTATTGATTTAAACCATGTTTATTTCTTAGGTGTTTGTTTACCAAATATATGGTTTTTTCACTTTTGGAGCTCATTCAAGTACATGTTTATGTTGTGTTGGTGTTATGTAAAAAAAAAAGTACAACCTGAAAAAGAATTGTGCACAAAAATGATATGACTTAAGTTATATGAGTGCAAGATGGATCGTTATTTGAATGATGGGCATGAGCTATACGTAGGGTTGGCAAATGGATTGTATCCATGGATTAGTGGATTGGATAGGTGGATCCATGGATCAAATGGATTGGTGGATTGATTCAAATGACATTCAAGCCTTAGACCTGTAACATCCTGAATTCCTGGTCCTTTTAACAAAAAATATAACACGGTTGCTCTGGAGCAGAGTAAAATTTCTTGAAAATAAAAACAAGTAAAAAAAAACTCGAATTCTTCCTTATAATTCAAATGTAAAGTCCTAAACAGTTGGAGAACTTCAATATATAAATCATAAAACAAAAAATCTGAATTTCTAGTTTATACTCATAATTATGAAACGAAACAACTAAACAATTCGAGTTGTGGCTTCTTACTATGATCCTTCCCGAGACATCTTCACAGATGATGTTGCTCGTCTCACATTAACTCCTCTCGAGCTACTCGCTCTCTAACCATTCCTCTACCTGGTGAGTGAGAAGGGGTCAGTCTACGCTGCTACAAAGAACTCAACTTTTCAATAAACTTAAACATTTGCCTGTACTTTGCGGAAGTTGTTCTTACTTCCTTTGTGATAAATCCATCCTTTATAAGACATTGTGGGAGTTGGCATTACTCTCCAACTTTAACGTCAAAATTATACACTCCTTAACCTATGACCACCACGTTTGTATCGTTGTCCAGTGTCATAACTTCCTAGGCAATAGCTCGCATTTTGAATCGTGGTCTGGTACTATGCTTGATCAACTACTGCTTATCGTAAAGACGTCCAGTAGTGATCAAACCACCCGAGGGTTTCCTTTGCTTACTAACACTCACTCATCACATACACATCACCTTTACTTTCATTAGGAGGTGAGGTACCTCAAAAATACACATCACATACCATCATGTTCATTAGGCGGTGAAATACCTAAAAATACTATACTCGCCTTCAATAGGTAGTGGGTTACCTCAACATACATCCACATGCCTCATACATTCTCAATTCTCCTAGTTCAAATGTCTAGTAAAAAAGGGAATCCTCAAACATGCATCTCGAGTAATTATAACTCGTAATTGAAAGCTTGAATTCATAAAGTTTAACCTTAAAAATCTCAGCGTAGAATTTACCCTTTACACTCACCTAAGCCTGCAAATGAGCCAAACGACTCGTTAGCAGCTTGATGTTCGGCTTGGGAAAAAATCATTCGAAACTCGACTCGTTTACTAACGAGTTGTTCGGCTCGTGAAGCTCGCGATCTAGCTTGACTCGTTAGCTTGTTGAGTATAACTCATGACCTGGCTCGTTTAGAGCTCATGAGATATCTCAATGATTGTGTTCCAGTGCGCGATTGAGCTTTAAATTTATAAAGTCGAAGCTCACTCTCTAATCTATCCTAACTAAGCCAAGTATAACCTAGCTAGGGTTGTAGTAAAGTGACTCGTCATATTCCAAGGGATCTCTAAGTGTATTATTACTTCGCTCCGACCTACTATCTAATCGAGGTGGAATTTGGTGAGGGGTTTTAGCTAAATTAACCTACTCCTAAGGCAAAATAAACAACCAACCAAATGGTTGAGAGAACGCTAGAGATAAGATGGTTGCCTAGGGTCGAATCCTCATAGTTAAGGTTGTAAAGTAGGGTTAATCGAATGTGGTGAGTGGGCTCTTTTCCGTGGGCTTTCGTGGTTATCCACATGCCTCCGAGTATGCCTCCCCTAAACCCATGTTCTAGTCACCTCAATCTAGGCTATCGTATCTGGGGCATTAAGCTTATGGCTCATTTCAATGGACACTGTCCATCGTCCACATCGAGGTTTCATCCCGGGTTTCATCTACGAGGGCTACCTATAGTAGGGGTTTGGTCGCCTCGACCACTATAGGCCCCCATTCACACATCTAACCTAAACTCGCCAGTTGGTGCATACCCGTCTAATCCTCGAATTCCATACCCAGCATGGTAGAATAAAGTAGGCTAAGAGGGAAGATTAGGGCGACTTACCCAAGCGTCATCATTTCGGAAAGAGTGGCATAAAAATCAACTAGATAAAACATTCATTCATTCATAACCCAGACATTCACAACCTATAACTAGGGTTCATCTACCCTAAACAACCACTAGAGATTTAAGTCATTAGAGAGAAGAAGAAAATACAAACTAGAAGAGGGGAATGATGGAATCAAGCTTCTTCTTCTTCTTGCACCTTCTCCTTGTCCTTGGGTTGGATGGATCTTCAATGAAGCTCTCCCAAGGTGTTTCTCTCTCTAAAGCACTGCAAAACCCTAATTTTCTCACCCCAAGGTGGCTCTTTTTTGAAAAGTGCAGGAAGAGGGGTATTTATAGAAAGCTTACGGCGGTCAAGGCCTCCAGGGCTTGACCCAATGGTCACGTCCATGATGGTGGCGTGACCAGCTGGAACGTCTCCGAATCACCCGAAATGACGCATTTTGTCCCGTCTTTAAGTTCCGAGATCGCGGCCTCCTTCACGAGATCACGGTCGCGATCTTTTGTGTCCCGAGCGCGATCTTTATAACGGCCAAAATGCACCATGAACGCGATCCGGGTGAGGAAACTCTCTGCCTTCTTCTTGGTCGCCTGCTGGAGATCGTGGCCACTGATCGCGGCCACGACCACAGGTCGTGATCATCGTCACGGCCTAGTCAAAGGCAGTGACCTGTGGCCCTGACCAATGCCTTTTCCCCCTTCTTGCTCCTATGCTTCCCAATCGTGCTCGAATGAACTCCAATCGATTCCCGATCATCACAAACACTTGGAAAAGCATAAAATACCACAAATTGGGGTCGGTTCCCCAATGAAAACCTTCATATCATGAATACCTATGCCAAAATGCATGTTTTGCAAATAGGAATGAATATGGGCATAAATAACTTGATATGTGGCCTAAACACGATGAATTAGCATGCAAATGCCTTGAGAATAGGGGCTAAATAACGCCTATTTTAGGTGTTATCACTCAACATAATGGTTAGATTGCCAACTCGATTACCAACCTATGAGCGAATCAATCTATATCTTATGAGTTGGACTTTGATGATTCATATATGAGTATTAAATTATATATCTCACCCTATATGAATATGAAGTTTAACACGTTGAGTATGTGAGCACATATATCTTATTTTTATTTTAAAAAGAAATTATGTAACGTAGATTGCTTCGATTCTATTAAATAACATGATTTGTAGTAGTTAAAATTTATTAACTAAATAATATAATACCAGCAAAGTATAACATTGAATTATTATTTTTTTATAATGGTGGCATCATATTATTAATATTAAAGATACAAAAAACAAAGAAAATGAAATGAGAGACAGATGTCGGCCGCACAAACGCAGACCACCAGCAAGTTCCGTATGACTGTATGAGCATAGCTTGAGGTGGCAAGGAAAGAGAACAATAAAAGCACAGTACAAAGCTCTCTAGTCTCTACCCAGCCTTCCGGAAACAGAATAACTATCTCTCTAAACTCATAACCCCCAAAAGTGACTCGACAGTCAACAGTAGCCAAAAGCTCTCTTCCCATGTCTTCATTCATCAATCCAACTCCAGTACAGAAGCAAACTATAATCCCACCTCCAAATGAAGACATTCATCAATCCAACTCCACTACAGAAGCAAACTATAATCCTTACTCCAAACAGAATACACCTGCAGCCTGCAGGCAGCATCACAACAAACAACACACATCTGCAAGCACAGAAACTTGAAGCAGGGTATCCTTAGTCTGCTTGTTAATAAACGAGCTCTACTCGAGCTCGATTCGTTTATTAATGGGTCAAATTTAAATTAGGCAAAACTCGACTCGGCTCGTTTGCAACCCGACTCACTTAGAAAAGATTACTCCTTGATTCCTTACTCGAAGAAATCTGTGGAATCACCTTGAAACCCCTCTAAAAAGTGTCTAGGTTCAAATTTGATGACCTTAGACGTCGATTTCATTGATTGACCACCAATTAAATCTGATTCCTTGCTGTTACGGACAATGATCAAGGCCAACACTCTTTATATCCATCTCTACTCTCCTCCATTATTTGGTTAGTAATGACATATCAATGAGGCCGCGTTGCTTTGGGGTTTGGGGATCAATATTTGGGGAGATGGGTGGCGGAGAGAGAGGGCGATGTAGGGAATGGGTTAGGGTGATTACTTATTTTTTTAGTAATTACGGTGGCAACTTCTTTATATACTATTAGATTTCATATTTTCCCTTCTTTTTTAATTTTACGGTCAAGATTCTTTTAGAATAATTTTGAAAACGAAAAAGTGATCACACCCGATTATTCTATATAATCTACCCAAATCCTAGTTCTACCCTCCCTCCATTCAAACCCGTCGCAGTCGCCTCCACCACTCCGTCGCACTAATTCCGCCGGCCGCCTACACCAGTCCCTCCCCTCGGCCTCCCCCAATGACCACCCTCGACGACAACGACGCCTACAGCCAGCCACCCTTCTCTCGGCCACCCGCGATCTTCCGGCGAGCTCCCGGCGGAGCCATTGCTGCTGTCGTTGAGCATGTCGCGGCCCAAAGGAAGAATCAGACTCACAGGAGCATCAACTGCGGCGGCGAAAATAGTGATCTCGTTGCGGAGACACAATCAGAAACTTGCCTCAAGAACATGAGGATTTTCTTCTGGGGAGATTCCAATAACGTAGACACAATCAAAAACTTGTTGGAATTGCTTGTGGTGGAATTCCAAAGACGCTTGTGGTGGGGGTGAGATGGTGATGATCTGGTAAGTTTTTGTTTTTGTTTTGTTTTGGTATTGGTTTATTGTTTTGTTTTATGAAATGGTATAGTTTGTTTTTCATAATGGTATTGATTTGATTTCATAATAGTAGTGGTATTTATTGATTTTGGTATTGGTTGACTCTTGTAATGGTATAAATTGTTTGTATAGGTAGTTTTAGTTTAATGGTATTGATTTATTTATGCAATGATATTGTTTTGATTTCACAGTAGTAGTGATATTGGTTGCTTTGGTATTTATTTGACTTTTGTAATGGTATAGATTGTTTATATTGGTAGTTTTTGTGTAATGGTATATATTTATTTGTGCAATTGTATTGATATTTTTCAAAATAGTAGGGGAAAAAATCCAAAACTACCACTATAAAAAAATTACAAAAATACCACCCATACTCAACAATTTCCAAAAGTACCACCCTTCCACACAAAACGCACTTCAAAGGCGCGGTTAAAAACCAAAACGTGCCTCGAAGGCGTGGTTAATAGTCAAACCGCGCGTTCCACAGGCGGTTTGACCCTTCCTGGCTGTCAAACCGCGTTGCCACGTGGCGGTGTATGCGACCGCGCGATGGGGAGCGATCTGACGGCCAAATCGCGCGCCAGCTCAGCGATCCGTGTCGCTCAGTCAAACCGCTCTGGGAACGTAAACCGTGCGCCGGAGGCGCGGTTTTAGGTGGGTTAAAAAGACAAAACCGCCCCTCCAGCACGCGGTTTCGTCCCTATATAAACCCTCTTCCCCCTCTCATTTTCTCCACACCAAACCTCATTCCCCCTCTCTCTCTAACTCCTCACTCTACCCACCCCCTCCCCACCCAAAAACCTTAGAATTAGTTGTTTTGTTGGTTGCGGCTAAGTCCGATCTGCTTTCAAAAAACTTTTTCTTTGGTTTTCACTAAAATAACGATCGAATCTCTGTGTGGATTCTGAAAAAATGGCCGATTTTATCCAAGAAGATGGTATTTACTATGATGATTATCAAGCGGTACATACTCATTTTACCCAATTGTTGTTGTTGTTATAATGATTTATTTAATTTATATACTAATTGATTTATGTTGTTGTTATGCTATCGTAGGTTGAGCCGGTTGTTGATATTTACAATCAACGATATTATGTTGATCAAAGACCGATTGATCCGACTATTTTATACGATCAAGGCAATCATCGTTCAAGAGACGTTTGGAACGACCACAAGGTACATATTATTTATCATCACTTATAATTTGTATTTTGTTAAAGTAATTTATTTGTTTATACAATAATTTACTTAATTGTTAATCGTATTGATTATTTTCAATAATTTAAATCAATACAATACAACACTTATTTAGACTCTTTATAAATAAATGCATGTCTAAGGAAATGGGGACTTAAGCGACCATCATGATCCCCCCATGATCTGGGAAAATCGGGTTCTAAGCGATCCTCAAATCCCCCCTTTTTCTGTCAAAAAGACTGTGTTTCTAAAGAGATGTATACCTCTTCTAAGAGTCTTACGAGTGTACTTGTATTGCTTTAAATTATTGAAAATAATCAATACGATTAACAAAATAATATATTTGTTTTTATGTGTATGTGTACAAAAAATAATTATACTTAAATTTTGAAAATTATTTTAGTTATGTTAAAATTAATGTTTATTAGATAATGTATATTTCTCTAAAACAACCTTGATTTAATTAATATTGCATCTTATAATATATTTATATATGTATAAATCATCAACTTATAGTGAAAGTTAAATTCTTCTCTATGATGCATACCATATAGTCCGCTATAGGGACACGACGAATGTGCTTGAATGGAACGACGTCATCTTGCCCTTTCTAAAAAGGGCAAGATTGGATTCGATTAGGCACTTTAATGGAATCAAGATCGACCGCCAACTCATCACAGCATTGGTAGAGATATGGCGAAAGGAGACACACTGCTTCAATTTCGTGAAGGTGAGTGCACCATCACACTTAAGGACATCTCCATCCTAACCGATATGCCCATCGATGGTGATGTTATTTGTGTGAACTCTACGCCACCATCTAAAGTTGTTGCCAATATGAGTGGTTGGTAGCATTTTATATGGACGGTCACTGGGTTGTGTCCTCCAGAAAAGGGAGATCACGATGCGGATGGTCATCCACCATTGTCCAAGGGCCAAGTATCCATCACGTGGTTGACAGCGGAGATCAAACGTAAGCACAACCCTGAATTCGGAGGCATTCCCCTCACGGAGGAAAGTTCGGAGCGTGATAAAGACATTTATGCACGTATCTACATCCTCGACATGATTGGAGGAGTTTTCTTCCCCAAGAAATCCAACAATTTAATCAGTAATTCATGGTTGAAGATCATACTTGGGAGTTGGGATGATATGGGAAATCTGAGCTGGGCATCTGCTTGCCTAGCTCATCTCTACCGCTCCCTCTGTAATGCTAGTGCGAGAGCGGTGAAGGAGACTGATGGGGCCATGTTCATCGTCCAATTTTGGGCTTGGGAGCATTTGCCATGGATTGCGCCAAAGGTAGACCCCGACAAGGAATGGGGACCCGACCATCCCCTATGACATGAAGCTTATGGTTGTAGGTAAATATTTTCTATCTCACTCATAGTTCTCACCTTTTTTTTACTAATTGACCATCATAATACACTATTACTTCCTACTTTTTTTCAACTTATATTATTATGTTTCTTAATGGTCCATTTTTTCTGCACCTTCGTAGCTTAAGTTCGATCTGTATCCAGAATGTATTGTCGCGCATCACGTCCACAAGTTCCCGTTGCATCCCGGTCAATGGTGCACCCGAATTCCACTAATCTGCCACCATATAGTGGAGTGGCACTTGCCGAATCGATGTCTACGACAATTCGGACGTGAGCAATGCCTACCATTGGATGTCCGAAAGAGTCAGAGGGGGTACCACAGGAAAGATGGTCGACAAGGAGCTACTAATTGGCCGGAGGAGTATGTAGAATTGATCGCTCTGTGGAACGTTAGGGAAGATCAGGATATTGTGACGGGATCTCATGTGGGGTGGATGGGATACCATGACCCATACATGGAAACCATCAATACATGGCTTGAATGCCCAGAAAAGACGCTTGAAATGGCGCTTGTTACCAGGCATCGGCGGTTGAATTCCTTCATCTTGGTAGCGAGGCGAGAAAATGGTGTCAGGGTTAGACACCTCCAACGCCAAAATCAATTTGGGAAGGAATGCATATGATTCTTCCCAGTCACCAAACACGGCAGCCATTGCTTTCTGTTTCCCATGCCATGCTTTCTTGTAGTTAATGATATAACCATAACGACTAGAAATGTCAGCGATGATGGTTTTCACCTTAAGGTCGGGCTGCTCCTCAATTAGATGTTTGATAGCCGCGGCAACCACCCTTGATTTCAACTGTCGATGGCCTTGGGATGTTATTGATGACACACATGTGTGTGTGTTCACCGTAGGGGATATGACCCAATGGACAACTCTCTTGCTCTTGATGGCCCGGACCCTAGCTTTGCATCCCTCATTTTGATTTTTGCATCGAACCATCAGCCTCTTGTGTCGGAATGAGTTGTTTGCCATTCAAAACTCCGAGTCATTGCTTCAGTGGCAATAGCGTGCCGGACCTCATTCTTCGTTGCAAATTGTTGGCCCTTCGTAAAGCCAGTGAGTGGACCCCATACTGGCACCTCTGGCGGGTCCATGTCGGCATCAACATACCAATCTTCATTTTGAATATGATTGTAGTACGAGATAGGTACATGGTCGCGAGTTACCTCATCACCGTCTTCGTCTGAATCTGGACCGGAATCATCAGCACCTTCCAGAGGATCGAAGCTGTCTGCACTAACATCGCCTTCCTCTTCTTCAACCTTAGGGTCACTAACTGTACTTGGATTGACCTCTTCTTCCATCTGATTATCATCATGAAAGGCACCTTCACCATCTCCGTAATGGTAGTTGTGGTAACTAACACCACTTTGGTAGAAGTTGTACTCGGGTGGGTACTGGTAGCCTGCTTGTTGGTTATGATCCGCCTGTTGAGCTTCTTCTTCATATGAAGGGAAGGATTGATGATAACCTCCAGTTCCATCATGATACTCCTGCCTCTAGCTCGAGTCTTGGTACTCCTGGTGGGGATGATCTTCGTATAATACACTCCCATCATGTATAGCAGATGTTTGGCCATCTCCAGAATGACCTACACCGCCTTCGACGGCCTCGGTGTAAACGAACATCTCCGCCTACTTAATTTTATTGGTGGTCAAAAATTGGACCATGGTATCAACGTCCTCCTGAGTGGTAAGAAGGAATTCCTCATTCCACAACGACCCGTCATGTCTGTATGGATATCGATACACCATTTGATCAACTCTTTCAGTGTCATCCATGCAGGTAATCTGAGTGCACATTTGATGGAGCTCTTCAAGCATCGGTCTCGTACGGACCTTCATTTTATAAAAATTGCCACTGACGTAACTTACACTCTTTTCGGTCTCTTCCGTGTAACCATTCCACCGCAACCCAAGCGTGAACCTTTGGAATGTCATCTGCAATAAAACTGTAATTAAGTTACTAATATAAAATCACAAAGGACAATAAAAAGTAATACTAAACAAACTTACGAATTAACGTTAATCGCAAAAACTAAATAATTTAAAAGTGCACAACTGAAATTTGAAGAAGGAGGAGGAGGAGTGTGAAGAATTTGAGTTATCTTAAACAACCTTTTATAGGCGATTTTTGCAGTTCAAACCGCCCCTGGGGGGGGGGGGGGGGGAGGTTTTAGGTCTGCCATGCAGCCCCACCCCCTGCATGCCGACATGTTTGATGTCGGGTGACCAGGCACAAACCGCGCCTTGGGGCAGCAGTTTAGTTTGCACAAACCGCCATTGGGGGGAGCGGTTTATGTCTGCACATGGTAAACCGCCGCCTGGTGGGGCGGTTTATCAAGCCGACATTTAAACGCGTCCTCTTGAAGCATTTTGTGGTAGGGTTAATATATAAACCGCGCCATCAAGGAGCGGTTTTACCTTAAAATAAAAACCGCCTGTTGGCAAGGCGGTTATGATGTAAACCGCTGCCTGGTGGCGCGGTTTATATATTAACCGCCTATTAGAGGCGCGGTTTTTAATAAACGGTGGTATTTTTGGAAATTGTTAAGAATGGGTGGTATTTTTGTAATTTTTTTTAAACAGTGATAATTTTGGATTTTTTTCCAAATAATAGTGGTTGTCTAATGGATTGGGGAGTGGTAACGTTGGGTGGTGTACGGTGGTGGGGAGTGGGATTAAATCCCTATTCCTCTTAATTTTACTAATATAATAATAACAATTGTTATTATTATTGACTCTTATTGCTTTACATCATAATAGCTACTAGTAACATTCAAACTAAATGTAACAGTTCTCCTATTAGACAAAACTCGTTTTTTTTTTTTGTAAAAATTTATTGGTTCTGCTTCCACTTACTAGGTAATTATATAATATAAAAAAATTAGTCAAAAAATAAAATAAAACATGCTGCCTATCGGACGAGCTAGTTTGTCTGCAACAACGATTGGTTTGTGGAAGATGTTTAACTTGTCTATTGGTGTTTAACATGAAGTGTCGACTGTCGAGTGATTCCTTTGTAAAATAATTGTTCATTTGCGATTTATTAAAAGATGAAGCAATCCCCGCTTCTGAGATTTTATTGCAGAGTGAAACACTTCGTTTACTGAAAGATAAAATTTAAAAGAATGGGTGTGAGAGACTCTCTCCGTAGGCTCAAGATACTGTGCATAACCATGCACTCATCAGTAACTAAGTATGGATCATTTATTCAAAAAATCCAGATCTAAGGATTGAGAATTAAAAGTCATTTTTATTTTTCCTTGTTTTATTAATCAGTTCATATCTTCTTCGTTTAAACTCGAATTTCAAGAGAGAATTAGGGGGGGGGGGGGAATTAAAAGCTTTTCATAAGAGAGAAGAGGCGCTGATGTGACGAATGATAATTGGATTATGCATCATTATATATATGTTCTCATAAAAGCAAGGAAAAAAGTAATATTTCTCACAAAAAACAATATAACATGTTGAATAGTAAAAGAACTATCACCAAAACCAAACAATGTAAAGTACATTACATCATTTTCCTTAATTGCATGTATATTACAATGCATGTATTGACCACAATGCATTGATTTAAGTATCACCAAAACCAAACGACCCCTTAGGGTAAAAGGTATAGATTTCGGAAAAAAAATGTTATTGTATGTGCAACTCGTTGATAACTATACGACATGAGAAACATTTGACTTCTACGCACTAAAGGGTAAAAGGTATAGAATAAGTCCTCGGTAAAAGACGACAACAATGTAGCAAAATCATACAAAGCCATAGAGCAAATAACATGATGCGCGATGCAACTAGGGCTACAAATGAGCCAAGCTACTCGCGAGCAACTCGAGGCTCGAATCGGGAAAAACTCGTTCGAAACTCGATTCGTTTACTGACGAGTCAAGCTTGAGCTTAGCTTTGTTCAGCTCGTGAAGCTCGCGAGCTAGCTCGGCTCGGTGGCTTGTTGAGCTCAACTCGTGAGTTGGCTCGTTTAAAACTCACGAGATGTCTCAACATTGTGGTTTGAGGGCCAACTTGATCACCGACTTATGTACTAATCGATCTAATTTGGACTTTCATAATTCATAGGATTGTTAAATTATATATCTCACATAATGTGAAGTTTAAAATGTTGAACATGTAAGAAAATATGCCTTATTTTTAATTCTATAAAGAAATTATGTACAAAACTGTTTCGATACTATGAAATAACATGATTTGAACTAGTTAAAATTTATTAACTAAACAATATGACACCTAAAAAATTATAATATAAGATTAATTAATGTTAAACATTTTGTTATTTTTTTATCGCTACATCAATCACATGTACCATGCACGACATACAAAATGAATATATCAAATACGATCTAAGAATTTAGTAAACAAACAAGTCTAGCTCGAACTCGACTCGACTCGGCTCGTTAATAAATGGCTCGGGCTCGAGCTCAACTCATTTGTTAACGAGTCAAGCTCAAACTGAGGTAAAACTCGGCTCAGCTCGGCTCATTTGCAGCCCTAAGCGCAACTACCTCCAAGTAAAATGACAAAAACACATCTTTACTATCGTCGAAAAGAAACACATTGGCTCAAAATGCATTATAATTTTTTCTTATTTATTCTGATAGTCAATTTGCATTTATGCCTTCCACCACACCCTCAAGAAGCCATTCATGACAGGTTATCGGAGTTTGAGGAGATGAGAGAGGAAGTATCATAGCTTGACCTGACCATCCAGTTGTAGGTAACTATTTCTACCAAATGGCCAAGAGTCATTAATGACCATGGTCCATGGTGGTTTATCCTCTATCTCGTTAACTTAACCAAATCAAATTTTCCGGGAGTATAAATTAGAGGAACCTATATATTAGTTTCAATAAAACGGCTAATTACAAAGTAACAAAATAGAGGAACCTATAGCTATATATTTGTTCCACTGAAAAGGCTAATTACAAGTAGGGTGAAATTGGGTCAAACTTAGCCATGACCTTAGACCTACTCTAAAATATGTAATCTTATTGGGTCAAGCTACAAACCTGGTCTATAATTTTTACCAATAGATCCATAATTTTTGTGGCAAAATTATGTTTTAGTACTTTTATATTTTTTTTAATTGCATTGTAGTACCTAAATTTCCAAACTTTACAAAAAAGTCCAATCTTTTGATATGAGAAATTTCAAATTACCAGTTGTTTGTTATGAGTTATAGGACAAAAAATAACCCGACCCTGCCCATAATAACCCTACCCAGTAGACGAACTGACCCAATCCAGCTCTCATGGTCAAGCAGGGCATACGATGGGTATCTACGGCCAGGCTTACACCTCTAATTACAAGTGCACATGCTCAACGGCGATCCAGGGGGGCCGCCCCCAGGCTGCGGCCCAGCCCTCCTCTGGATTAAAGCTAGTATAGCACTTGTAAATTTTTTATTTTTGGTGTTCGTTTAAGTGTTCATCCAGCTACGGTCCAACCCGCTCTGCCTATTTTCAAAATGTGGCACAGTGCTCTACCTAGTCTTGAATCCGCAGCTGCACATACGGACACCCCAACGATAATGATGAAAGTAATTGGCACCCATTCTGGGCTGTATGGCAGCTGGGGCTATCATTTTCAGTACTAGGCGTCATCACACACCGTACCCAAACCAATCAGGAAAAGGGAGCATAACCGCAGGTTACTCCACCAAATGAAAACTTAGTACTGTTCTGAATGCTGCAGATCAGATGGCACTTGTCCTACATCTGTGTCCAGGCATGGCTTATGGCTGCTGCCTGCCTCTTCAACTGTAGTGCTAGTGCTAGTGCTAGTGCATGCGGGGTAATGTGGTACAAAACTACTGTGGCCGATCAGAAAGGCAGTGAAAGTGGATTTCTGGGCTCTCTGTCAGCAGCAGTTATGCTATGCATGCAGTATATTGTCATCATCATTTGCAGTGCTGTACAGGGTGCTGCTTTTGATAGCTAAAAATTAGGTAAACATCATCATCTTCAGCTTTTATTGTTTCATTAACCAATGGAATGGGAAGCGAAGGAAAAGATTAAGCGAGTGAGAGCAAGAAGCTTAGGTCATGTTCAGTTTGAAGAGCTGCCTGCATTGGTGTCAGTTGGTATTGTATTTGTGTAGGTTGTCCTAATCCTCCAATTTGTTTGGATCAGAAAGAACTATTTTATCTTTTCTCTCTGTGTGTGAATGTTTTTAGATATCTATCCATTTACATAAGAAGATAGTATTCTTTTTTCCTACTCCCTCTAAATTATTGGCCTAACAGGACAGCAGCAGCAGTACTAGTCTAGTAGTGGTGTCCGTTTATTTGAATAATAATAATAATAATAATAATAATAATAATAATAATAATATATTTAGATGATGCACTTTTTTCCTCCTAGGGATTGTTTAGTAACGAAGTATTGTATTTCCGAGGGTAAACTTTTTATATAATGTAAAATGGGTCAAACCATCACTACTTAATCATATTAGCTCGACGTGGAATGGGGATTTCTAAGATATACATGACTTGATGGAACCTTTTCACAAATACCACAATTTTTTTTAAAAAAAATACCATCCATTCGCAAAAGAGAGTTACTAATTAGAGCTTTAAAATTCAAAAATCATCGCCCTAAAAATAAACTGAATTACACATTTACCCCTAAGCCCTAAAACGTGTAGAAATTACAATCGCCCTAAATCATGACCCGTTGCCACCGCCACTTCTGATGCTACGCAACTCAAGGACGAAGAAGGAATCCGATCGACCACCTGACGATGCCTGGTTCTGGCTTCCCACTGTCACCGTCGCTCACCTCTGCTGCTCTTGAATAGGGATGGCAAAAATATCTGTGATCGTTGATATCCGCCCGAATCCGACCTAATCAGGTAGGGTAAAACCTTAACCAGAATATTGCGGGTAATGGGTGGGCATGGGTTTCTCACTATCCAACCCTAACCCTCCCGATTATACACATGCATATGTATTTTGTCTAACATATTTTATATTTAACATATAAATATAATATTTTCATGAAATTGTGTTGTTTTAATTAATTTTCTTCATTCTGGTGAATTATTATCATACTTTTCTCTTAAGTGATATGAGAATACGTGTGAATGGGTATGGGTAAAACCCGAACTACATTGGGTAGGATAATAGATATGCACTAACTCCCCGACCCATTGTCATCCCTACTCTTGAACTCGAGGAGGAAGAAGATGAAGGATGTCGCCCACGTCTGTCTTCGCCCACCTCCACCACTCTCCGACCGGCGTTGCACCACCTCCTCTGTCGTCGAGCCGAAATCTCCCCCCTGCTTCGTCCTTCATCCTCGATCTCGGCATCAGCAAATCCGGCGGCGGTCGTGACAAAGCCCTGTGTTATAAACCCGCTGCTACGGATCGGGAAATCGCCAGAATTGATAAAGCAAGAATACGAAAGCGAGAATCGAAAAAAATACAGACACACGATTTACGTGGTTCACTAACACGATGTGTGTTAGCTACGTCCACGGGCGAGAGAGAGCCAATTTCACTATATCGAGGAGATTACAGATTACAGAGGAGTATGAGAAGTATTTATAGTACTTCTTGTTCGAATTCCCTTTACCAGATTTCTTCTTTCCCTTTCCACCTGTAACAGCCAAACCCGATGCCTCATCACCTGTACCAGATCTGGATGCCTTATGTCTGATCTCTATCGTATGAAGAGCATACCTGACATCTTCCAACGACACGCTTTCTTTACCGGCAATAAAAGAGTCAACAAAATTCTCATATGAACTCGGCAAAGAAACCAGCAGGATTAGGGCAGCATCCTCGTCATCAACTTGAACATCTATATTACGCAGATCCAACAAAATAGAGTTAAGCTGTTCGAGATGTTCCCTCAAAGGCGTACCTTCTTGCATCCTCAAGCTGAACAACCGTTGCTTGAGATGCAGCTTGTTGGTTAAGGACTTCGTCATATACAGACTCTCCAACTTTAACCACAAGCCCGCGGCAGTCTTCTCAGCAGCGACTTCAATGATGACATCATCAGACAACGATAGCATGATGGTCGAGTGGGCCTTCTCCTCCAGGGTATTCCACTCATCATCATCGACCGCTGCCTTCTTCTATTTTGCAGACAGCAGCCCTCACAGCCCTTGCTGTTTTAATATAGCCTGCATCTTGATCTGCCATATAGCGAAGCTGTTCTTCCCCGTGAACTTTTCGATCTTTATGTTCACCGATGTCATTCTTCTGAATCGAAAAACCCTAGCCTGATTTCCAACCAGGCTCTGATACCACTTGTTATAAACGTGCTGCTACGGATCGGGAAATCGCCGGAATCGATAAAACAAGAACACGAAAGCGAGAATCGAAAAAAACACAGACACATGATTTACGTGGTTCACTAACACGATGTGTGTTAGCTACGTCCACGGGCGAGAGAGAGCCAGTTTCACTATATCAAGGAGATTACAGATTACAGGGGAGTATGATAGACCGTTAGTTACACATGTTTTCACCCCTGTTCTTACACCGTTTGAGAGGTGGTTTCTCGTGTTTTAGACCGATTTCACGCTAGGTTGTGCTTGTTTGTGATATTTCAGGTCCTGGCAAGTGAATGAGGGTTTAGGAGCGAGTTCGGGGTTGATTGGGTGAAGATCGGGCGCGAGACAAGTCACAAAGGAGGTCACACGGGCTGCCCTGATATTCACTCGGCCGTGTGAAGTAATGGCCTGGCCGTGCGAGTTTTGCCGAGAGCACAAACGGGCAGAGCAGAGGATCGACACGGCCGTGCAAGTGGCCGGGTTGGCCGTGCCACATTCTGCGAGAGCAAACACGGGCAAGAGGGGATGTCCACACGGCCGTGCCATTCTGGCCGTGCAAAGAGCCTGGAATTCGAACTAAATGAAACGATGCGTTTTGACTAACACGGGCAACTGGGTGATCTACACGGTCGTGCCACCCTGGCCGTGTGAGTCGGGATTTTCTCCTTTTAAGCAGAATTTCAGCCACAATTCGAGAGGATTCGGGTTTTTGAGAAAGAGAGCGATTTCTAGAGAGAGAAAGCGACGAACAAGAGTCTCCAAGTGCCCTAGATTGATCTTCAACACCATTGGAGGCCAGCTTGAGCTTGGAGAAGTGCCAATCAACGTCCAGAAGCAGGAATCCATCCTTCGCAGTATGAATTCCGTGTCTGACTCTGCTTTTGCTTTCTTCTCTATGGAGTAGTTCTCCCATTCATCTGGGTATGGAGAACCCTAGATTTGTATGTTAGGCTTTGATTGTATGAACCCAAGTACTGATTCTGTGATTGATTATATTCGATTGAGGTTTTAATGATTGAATGACTTGAATCCTGATCAAATTCCTGTTGTTTCTGCTTTAACCTAGAATGAGAATATCTGACTAGGTTAATAGAGTATCCTTGATTGAAGGTAGAGAGTTGGTGACTTTAGTCGAGGAACCAACTCACTATTCTGTACCGGATTTACTCCGGTAGTGGAGGTTTTGTTCTTAGGGCCTCAATCTGTCTACTCCGGTGGAGGTTAGTCGCCCGCTAGAGATTCAGATTGAGAGGGTCTGAAGACCTTTAGTCGAGACTTCAGGCTGTTTAAGAACCTTCCGCAGTATAATCTTCGTAGAAACTGAACTTGGTAATTACAATCCGGCTTAACTGCAGTCTAGGGGGAACCATATCCGGGTGACCTCTCTTAACTTGAATACAACCGTTTACCTGCTTTGCTAGTTTGTTAGTTAGACTTGCATTCCAGTTTCATTGCTAGATAATAAGAATTCACTGAGTAGTCATCAGATCTAGGACCCGGGTTGATAATTAAACCTAAACCCGCTATACTACGCTTTAGGAAGTGGTTACACTTGGCCAATTCCTGGAGTGACAGTAGAGTCGAGTCAAGTTTTTGGCGCCGTTGCCGGGGATGGCTAGGTTGTTGAAGAAAAGTGATTTCTGTTAATTTAGCTTTTCTTTTTGCTTTGTTTTCTTTGTCCCACATGTGCCTTCACGGGTTTGTTGCTTGAGTGTGTGCAGGTAGTGCATGACCCGTAGCCAGTCGGGAGGTTTACTGCCGTTGAATCCAGAGATTGACCGCACCTGTCGCCAGCTCAAGAGACAACAGCGAGCTAGACTTGCTACGGAAGAGCGCATAGACTGCCACCTGAGCAGCGATTCTGAAGAAGAGCACGGGATGGACGGAGACTACAACCAACCTTCTTCACCTTAATCCTCTTCTCTGTCCTCAAGAAATGATACCTCACGTCGATGTGCTTAGTCCTCTCATGGTGGACTTGATCCTTGGCCAAGCATATTGCACTCAAACTGTCACAATACACCATTGCCTGATCATGATGTAGACCCAGATCACCAACCAATCCCTTCAACCATATTCCCTCCTTAGCAGCTTCTGTCAACGCCATATACTCTGCCTCAGTAGTAGACAATGTCAGCGCCGACTGCAAAGTTGCCTTCCAACTCACTACAGAACTCCCAAGAGTGAATACATAACCGGTCATCGATCTCCTCGTGTCAACATCTCCAGCATAGTCCGAGTCAGAATACCCAGACACTAAGCACTCTGTATCACTTCCGAAGCTAATCCCCACATCAGGTGTACCCTTAAGGTACCGGAAGATCCTCTTCACAGCCTGCCAATGCTCCTTCCTAGGTTGTATCAATAAACCTGCTGACAACACTAACAGCATGTGCAAGATCAGGTCTAGTGCATACCATAGCGTACATCAAGCTACCTACTGCACTAGCATATGGGACTCTCGACATGTACTCCTTCTCAGCCTCTGACTGCGGTGCATAAGCTGAGGATAGATGAACATTTGAAGCACTGGGAGTATTTAAGGGCTTTGCTGAAGACATGCCAAACCTCGACAATATCTTCTGGATGTAGCTCTTCTGTGACAAGAAAAGCTTCTTCTTCGACCTGTCCCTGTAAATCTCCAAACCCAAGATCTTCTGAGCAGCTCCCAAATCCTTCATCTCAAACTCAGCATTGAGAAGCCCCTTTAACTTCTGGATATCAGACTTTGACCTCGCAGCTCACTTTGACCTCGCAGCTATGAGCATATCATCCACATACAGAACAAGATAGATCATCGAATCAACCTCCACCTTGTTGTGAGACCCCCGATTACCAGTCGTAGCGGCTGATAGTCCGATTCAAGTCACATCAACACCCTGCATCATTGATGGCATTAGCATAATTGGGAAGCGGGTTCGGCCGGTGGACTTCTTCCTTCCTCCTCCTTCTCGACGTTGGGCTGAGCAGAGTGATGGCCATTAGAAGAGTGACGCGACGACAAGACTGACTAGGGAGAAAAATGGTTCACAATTTTTTAGGGATTTCGAATAAGTTAGGGGCAAAATCGTCTGTTTGGAACCTGCTGTGGATTCCCCTGGGGTATGGGGTTGTTCCCCAGGACCTGATTCACCGGGGGAACCTGCTTGGATAAATCTAGGGCGGAAAATTTAAAAAACTAGGTCGTTAAATAGAATTCATTTCGCAAAAATGGCGGTTTATACAAAAACCGCAAGGGGTCTTGCGTTTTTCGTTCCTGACGGCTGAAAACCGCATGGGGTCACCGCGGTCAGATTGACCGTGCACCATCTCAGCGATCCAAGGAAAAACCACCGCCCCACCTCGCGGTTTGATTGCGATTTTTTTTCTGAAACTTCAAATGAACGCAATTTTGCGCTTGGGTATCCGATCGTAGCAAAAAAAAAATTGATTCTGCATAACTTTTCGAGATCTTGCAAGCAGCAAAATGCAGTAAGCAATTTGGTCCCGCCCTCATCCCGAAAAAATACGTTTGCTACCTCGAACATGCAATTTTTTTATTTCTCCAAACTTTGAAATTCCATAACTTTGTGCTCCGGGTTATAAAAAAAATTGATTCTGCATAACTTTGTTAGCCAAAACAATGTTGCGGCTTGCAAAGTCTCGAAAAGTTATGCGGAATAAAAAAAAGTTCCGCTACGATCTAATACCCGAGCACAAAGTTACGTACATTTAAAGTTTTAGAAAAAAAATTGCAAGCAAACCGTAGGGTGGGGTGACGGTTTTGCCCTGGATCGCTGAGGTGCCGCATGGTCAATCTGACCGCAGTGACCCCATGTGGTTTTCAGCCGGCAGGAACGAAAGTTGCGGCACCCCCTGCGATTTTCGTATAAACCTTCATAGAGGGCCGTGATTTTTGGGAAATTGTGGTATTTTTGAAATTTTTCAAAAATGGGTAGTATTCTTGAAATTTTTTAGTTTTTGATGATATTTCTGGAAAATTTCCTGATTTGATGTCGAAACTCAGGGTTATGCTGCGGTTTACTCTCTAGGTTGGTTAGCAGACGTCTGCGTCCCACCTTCCATAAGCGATGGTGAATCCTGCTCGATCCTAGCCACTGCCAAATGCGCTTCAAGTCCTCCGATTGGAACGACAAATTTCGAAGGGTAAACGGATGCATATATTATTTATTATATATGTTGCCCATATGTACCATAATTTGTGTTTGAATATAAGTGAGTCTCAATCCATTTGGTTTCATACAAGGTCTCAATCGCTCTTAAGTTCTTTTATTGCTTGGCTTATGAGATCTACGAAAGGCGATGTTCCAACGAGGTAAGGAGTGAGATGAATTGAAGGCTCCCATGTGATGATCTCTGTCCAATCTTCATCTGGGTGGGCGTTCTCCTACGATTTATCCTCCTTTCTTCGGGGGTCTGTGCCGAAGTTCTCAGCAATGGCGACAAACCCTTGGTGGACAATGCAGGTATGGTATGAGGGTCACCCCTTGTTTTGTATCCTTTTGTTTTTGTAAACAATAATAATTATTATTATTTGTATCTGCATGGCTAGTGGTTGTGGGTCGGGGGAGACCAACTATACAGCCTAATAAAAAAGAGGGCTAATCCCACTACAACACCCGAACTATGAACAAAATTTCATTTGTGTCCTATTCTTTCCAATATTCCATTTATATCCTAAACTATTATTCCGTTAGTGTTGACCAATGTTGACCGTTAATTTTTAATGGAAAATCCAGTCAGCATCAACGTGACATCTGACGTGGAATTTTTAATTCCAATTTTTATTCAAAATATCATTTTAAATAACAAAAGTGAAAATTTTCCCCTATCTCTGATGCTTTCCCGTCTCCCTCCCCCTACCGCCGTTCCTCGGGCTCCGCCTATAACATCTTCCCAATTCCAACAATGGTGAGATTCAGGGTCTCCCAGCTCCACTTCGATGGCAGATCCGACGATATCGCAGTCGTGCTCCAGCCACCATCTCCAATTTCTTTGTTAGATGGACTCTCCTCCTTGCCCACTGCCTCCAAATGTGAAGTCGATTTGCTTCACCATCGAGACCAAGCGCCTACGCTTCCTTTGTCTCATTTGAAAAGCCAACTGAAAATAGAGTGACTGTAATCGCAGTCGGACACTGGCCGAATTCTCAAACCCCAAAAGGAGCCGAAGATCGACACTAAAAAGAATCAAGAGGGATCCCCTCAAATTTCTGGGGCACGTAAAGGAAAAGAGAAACAGATCGATTGATGCACAGATAGCAGGAGGAATCAGAGGGGCAGAACCATGAAGATTCAATAGTAAGTCAATCCTTGAATCACTCGGTCCCTCAAGATCCCGGTGTAGAGAACCCGTCTGTTCGCTGGCATTCTCCTCTCCCGTGGCGGTGAAACATTGCAACATCTCTTCGTCGGCGAAGACCTATATGAGATATCTTGCTAATTGATATATATGTTCCGGTCTCAAACACAGAACCGAACTCAGGGGACTAAACCATTATCTTTGGGAATATTTACTTTTTTTTTTTGTTATATAAATCCTTGAGGATTAACTAGATAAGCATGTGGGGCACACCAATTACAACCCCTGCACGGACTCAAAGACAGACCATATAGGAATAATCAAATAATACATTACTTATACCAGGATAGCGTAGGGCATTACGTGACACAGTATGGGCAGCCCGATTCTCTTCTCGATGTGAGTAAGCCAAAGAAACCAAAGGTAGACGAGTGAGTAGATATAACACTTCACGATATATTACGCCGCACTGAGCATCATGTGGATTGCTAGACCCTAACCGCTCCAACACAGCTTGTGCATCTCCAGTAATCTAAACATGATGAGCATACCATCCCCAACGGGAAAGGAGGAGTAAAGCATAACGGACCGCCAATAATTCCACAGTAGTAGAATCAACTACCTGGTAGAGCGCACCCAAAACCAAAAGCATCCTGGCCGCCAACAAAGCCAGCAATACCAACTGAACCATGAGTGGGAGATGATGTCGCGCCGTCCACAGCAATCCGAAATCCGGAACTCAATTGGGGAGCACGGAGTCGTCGAGGTGGTGGTGCCTGGGCCGAAAATAGTGGTTGGACGGCAATTTGATGATCGGCCTGGTGTGACAGTAATTGATGATGAAGGCAGGCGATGGTAAACTGAGAGTGGGGGAGGAACAACATTGTTGCGACTTTTCCAAAGTCGCCAAAATAAGAGTACCCAGGAAGTAATAGAGTGGATATCCGCAGTGAATATGAGATGCCGCCAAAACAACGAGAGGTGGGTGGTGGGAAGAAGACCAGGAGGCAAATGGAGCCCTACCAAATTACGCATAGCAACTGCCACCGGACATCGAATAAATCAATGCTCGACTGATTCACCTTCTGTGGACTCACAAATTGGGCACAAGTCGCCAACTTGTAGACCATGGCGATTTAGGTCTTCCCGGATAGGCAGAATCCGCAAAATAATACGCCATAGAAAAAATCTGAGCTTAGGGGAAAGTGGCAGTCCCCATAATTTCGGCCACAATTTTGGATCCACCGGAGAGGTCGATGAGACTTTTGCTGTTTTTGGAGGCGGTTTTGCGGCCATTGTCAGTCGGTAAGCATATTTGACGGAGAACAGGCCATCGGATTGATAATGCCAAATGTAACGGTCCAAACCCGGGGTCAGCGGAAGCGGAATGTTTAAGATTTCGGAAATCGAGTCATTTGTAAAGAATTGGCGCAAACGTTGAATATTCCAGGCCCCCGAAAGAGGAGATATAAATTAAAGACAGACCGAGAGGAATCGGATGACGATGATAACAAAGATGGTTTGAGTGACGACAAAGAGGGGACCCACGGATCTGTCATCGCATCGATGGAGGTGCCAGAACTAACTTCCCACCGCAAGCCTTTGACAAGCAAGTCCCGACCATGTAGCAAAGATTTCCATGCCCAAGAAGAATTAGAACCCTGTCGCGCATTTAGAAAAGAAGTCTGGTGAAAATAACGACCTTTAAGCACCTTAGCTACCAAAGAATCCGGCTCCGTCAGAATACGCCAACACTGTTTTGCAAGCAAATCCTAATTAAAAGCTTCAAAATCCCGGACGCCCAGTCCACCTTCAGATTTAGACAGACACAAATGCAGCCAAGAGACCCATGGTAGTCGGCATTTTGTACCCTGTTGACCCCACCAAAACCGCGCAATCATGCGATTGAGAGACCACATAACCCTTTTGGAAGCCAAAAGCTAGAAATAGCATAGACCGGCAAAGCAGAGACCACAGACTTAATCAATGTCTCAAGACCAGCAGGTGACAAGCATCGTCGTTTCCATCCTTGTAATTTCTTGGACACAGCCTCCTCAATGAAACGGAAAATACTTCTTTTAGAACGACGAATTAAGGATGGCAGCCCAAGGTATCTATCCTTAGCACAATCGCACCAACCCAATAAGGCGCCATAAGGAGAAGCCTCTTATGGGAGTGTGTTCTTAGAGAAGACCACCGCAGATTTAGACATATTTACCTGCTGACCACTCTTAAATTCATACCGTCTCAAGACATCCAGTAAGTAAAGACAATCACGGTCTGAAACTCGAAGAAAAATAAGTGATAGAGAATGGGGCAATGATGATTAAAGAGAATGCCTTTTAAGTCACTTCGCTGAAGCGATTGAGTCAACAATGCCGACAACCCTACAGTAAGAGCAACAATGGTGATAAAGGGTCACCTTGACGGAGACCACGGGAGGGGTGGAAATAGCCATAAGAGCTGCCGTTAAGGAGAACGGAAAATGTCGTTGTAGATAGACAGGTATGAACCAAAGCAATGAGACGAGGATCAAAACCCAATTTCTCCATTACCCGAAAGAGGTAAGGCCACTCAATGCGATCATACGCATTTTCCATGTCCAGTTTGAGTGCCATAAAACGCTCCTTACCACCATGTTTATTTGTGAGATAATTCATAACCTCCTCACTAATGATCACGTTATCAACAATCGAACGATCCTTGATGAACCCATTTTGGTAAGTAGAAATAACCTTTGGCAAAATGTCGCCGAGACGGGTGGCCAAGATTTTAGAAATAATCTTATAAAAAACCTGACAGAGACCAATTGGTCGAAGTTGAGCACACGACTCCACATTCGGAACTTTGGGGATGAGTGTCAACCAAGTATGATTGAAAGCTCGCAGTAGATGGCCGGAGCGAAAAAATGATTGCACTGCAACGCAAACATCATGACCAACGACATCCCAATATTGTTGAAAGAAAAGGGCGGTGAACCCATCCGATCCTGGAGCTTTGGAGGAGCCGATTTGGAACACCATATTCTTAATAATAGAGGAGGTCACATGCGCTAGGAGTGACGAATTCATAGAAGGAGTGACCCTTCCATCGAACTGTAAAGAGTCCAATGCTGCTGCTATACCAGTTGGCGAGCCCTCTGAAGTGAATAATGTGGTGAAATGCGAGACAAACTTTGGAAATAATTGGGAATATTTGCTTTGCTGTTAACCGCTGAGTTTTTATAATATTTTTTTAGTAATGTTCTTGAATTTAAAATTTGTCATTTTTATTTTCAAAATTTAATTTTAATATAAGTGACATTTTATTGATAGTTCGAGTGTTTTAGTGGTATTAGCCCTAAAAAAGAATGCGTGAAAGATTTGATTAATAATTAGTATTTACCTTTATTGCCTATGTTTGGCCCGGCTTATAGAAGTGTTTTCGGCTTCAAAAGCTGAAGTAGGGCCAAACACCTCTAAAAGCTCGGCTTTTGGAAAGCCGAAAAACGATTTTGTATAACATAAAAGCAGCAGCTTCGATTTGGAGCTTCTGCGAAAAACCGTTTTGAAAATATAAGATTATCCTTACCATATTTTAATTTTATTTCAGAAAATATAATTTTCTTTCATTTATATCATTTTAAAAAATAAAAAAATATATTATTTAATATAAAAGAAGTCTAACAAGATCCATTTTGACTACATTTAATTGTTTAGAATTATTATTCATAGTTTATATTATAAGTCATTTTACACAACCTTTCATATTAAAAAGCACTTTTAATAGTTTTTTAGCCAAACACTCAACTGGTTTTTTTGAAAAGTACTTCTTTAAAATTTTAAACTAGAAACTGTTTCTGCAAAAACTACAACAGGGCCAAACTGAGCCATTGTCTATGGCTCAGTTTGTTATTTTTCCCGCTGTGCCTGTGTTTATGATTTGAACACTTTATGAATCTCGTGAATGAGCTTTTTACTATTATTGATTTTTTTTTACAAACTTTTTATTATTGATTGTATTTGACTTTTCTTTGAGTTTTCCACTTTGTACCCTTCCAAGTTTGAAATCAAATTTTCCATGTAAGAAAAAATATACAATTAGTCAGGCAGTTGCATGCTTATCTACTCTGCCAACAAAATGTAATACAATATTGTTTTATGACTGATTGTTGGTCCCCAAATTAGTAATGTAGATAGGTATAGATAGGTTTTACGAGCTTCACTCTTACAGAGATGATGCTTAGCCGCAGTTAGCGCACTGTCTATCTATATCTTCGACGACATTAGCTGCTCTGTTCTGTTTTTATGACGCACAGTAGTTATCAATTCTCCCCAGGATTTATTTCTAATGTTTTTATTTTATTGGGTTACAGGTATAATATTCTCCTCTACTATGACGTTTTATCAAACATGCCCCTTTACTATTTTTTACATCAAACATGCCCCTGTAATTTGGAAAAACTATCAAACATGCCCTTCAGTTGAAATTTCTATCGAAAAAATCGGCAATCATGGTTGAACCGAGGTTTAGACGACCTGGCATCGATAAATGGGAGGGGAAATGTCAGTTTTGACCCTTGTTTTATTTCTCTAGGTCTCATCAAAGTGAAATTATTAGAATTATTTGGCTATACAAAAGAACAAAAAAAAACTTTAAAGTGAAATTATTAGGGATATTTTAGATATTTGGTTCGCCCAAACCAAAGTTCGGTCTTGGTTAACAGCTTTTAGATGAAAATTTTAACAAAAGGGCATGTTTGATAAGTTTTCCAAAGTACAAGGGTATGTTTGATGTAAAAAATAGTAGAGGGGCATGTTTGATAAAACGTCATAGTAGAGGGGCATATTATACCTATAACCCTATTTTATTTGATGTTGAATCTAGGCCGGGAAACCGAGCTATATGGTCTGGGTCGAATCATATATGATTTATGGTTCATATCGAGATGCTAGATAGATTATAGATCATATCACATAATATACAGTTCAGATGTGATTACGTCTGCGCGGTCTAGTATAGTACGATCTGATCACATTGAATAAAAAAAGAAATAATTTGGGTAGTCAACAATATTTGAACCAATAACTGAGAAAATTTTGTTTTTGCCTTAAAACATAAATTCTAACATTCATGAATATTTTTTACCCCCTAAATCTCAATAAATAACAAAGATACAAAGGATCTCAACTTGCACAATTAACGTCATTAACATTAATAGTATGGCATATGGAGATACGATTGTCTCTACTCGCTTGGTGAAATGTGGTTATGAATGATGAGGGACGAGATTATCAAAATTATGGTTGAGAGTTGGGTCCCGTTTGGGAAACTGGGAGTGTAATCGAGTGGGCTGTAATACATATTGGGAAGTTGGTTAGGTCCGGTAAATCACGATCTAGACCAGACCATTCTTAATTGGCAAGCTTTACCATTGTTCGTATTCATCTCGTTAAAATAATTCAACCAACTCGAGTTTGACACAAGCTTTAATAGACAAGCTCAAACACGCTCATTTGAAGGGGGGGGGGGGGGGGAAGCTTTACTCGAGGTCGGCTAACCAAATGAGTTTAACGAGCAAGAATCGAGTTCAACTAGTAAAATGTCGATTATAGCTCGAGCTCAAACTCAGCTCACAATACACCAACATCTCATCCTCTTTAGTATAGTAGACTAAGTCACTTAAAGGCTTCTGAGGTTGTTCTCGATCCTATCAAGCTGAACATGTCATGCCTTGGGTTTGGCTCGTTTACAACACTAATTCATATATATAATCGGGTAAAATGTGTTGAAACTACAATTGAGCATACTATTAATATGCATCTCTCTGTTATGACATTAGCAGCACCCTTCCTCCCCAAGCAGCCATGGGGGCTGCTGTCGGCGTCCCTCCGGCGACCGACGGTAGCCCTTTGCCCCACTTTTTCAGTTTTTGTAGTCGATCATTCTAGGGGTGTACATGGGTCGGGTAGTCCGGGTTTAGTCATTTTAATCACCCTATTCATGCACTACTATTTGAGAAATATTAAACCCAAACTCACCCAAAAAAATTTAAACCCTACGGTTTGTTTCTAATTGGGTTGGGTTGGCGATATTTTTAATTAAAAACCCAACCCAGTAATTATTCTACAACATAAAAATATTTTATAACTAATTAAAATTTCAAACGAATAAACCGAGGTGAAAGGTATCAAAATTCACAAATGTTGTTTGAATAATAAAATATGATTTACTCCAACATATGTCTAGTTTTTTGCTCGACTTTTGTTGAAAGAGGCTAAAAAGGTTATAAACGAACGCATCTATAATATGTTATTTTATTAAAATTGAACACAAGAAAAGAGATTAAGTGAATTATATCTAGATTAAATTTATGTCTAAACTTTAAGCCGGAGTATGCATTAGATTAAGGAGACCATGAGGAAAAACATGGCGAAATATCTTAATTTTCTCATAATGGGTATATACGACATAATATTTTTTGGATATGAATCATACCAATAGTTGGAACACGGTTGGGTCGGGTTCTACGGGTTTTGTCATCCAAAATTCAAACCCAACCCAAAAGAGGCGGGTTGTACAAAAGAAAACTCTCACCCAACCCAAAACTTTTGTTTTACCGATAAATATGGGTGGGTCGGGTTGAACGGGTGGGTCGGCTTGCTAGTTTGTTTGTTCACCCCTAGGTCCTTCCCTCTGGTATCCCTCTCCTCTTGTTTCCTTTCGTAGTGTAGTCTTCCTTCTCTTCTCTTTCGCATTTTCCAGCCAATACAGTCAAAATCAAGATTTTACGTAAAATAAAAAATTAACGTAAAAGCGAAATCATAAATTAAAATGGTAAGATTTTAAGGTTCATATTAAAATTATTACTTAAAACATCGGGCAGTAAGAATAATGCATATCCTAAATAACAGCCAATCACACATCACTTAATTGATTCTCAAGATAAGTTTATCTACTAAATAACACAAATAAAACCATATATTTGTTCTTTTGCATACGATAATGAAAAAAATAAGCAACCTGAAATCTAATAGAAATCGCTTAATCTACTTGATAGTTAAGAGTAGAAACTCACATAAGATCGTTATGATTAATATTAGCATCTAAATCCTAAACATCGTCATCCTCACTTTCAACCTCATAAAATCCTCGTCTATTTGCTAGAGCAATTAAATCGCTATTCTTATGATCACTTGAAGTACGTTCAATACCAACCGTATTTCCTTGATAGCCATAATCCTACAACGGTAACTTATTGATTGATGCATTCTCTTCTTGATCGAAAGAAGGTCGGGAATGGTGGCACTAAAGTTTTGGGAGATGAACTAAAACTCGCAAGGGGATGGGGATTGGAATAATTGTGAGGGTGATGGGGGAACAAACAAGGAGGTAATTGAGAGGGTGATGAAGGAAATCGTTGATGGGATAAATAGGGTGTAGCTTGCGGAAGAGAAAGAGAACGAAAAATTAATCTAGGGTTGCATGTATGGTTAGGTTATGTTGTTCATGTGTTTGGCCGGTGGAAGTGAACTTGACCCGGTTCATGGTCTAAACCTGACCCGACCTGTTTCATTTTGCTCCAGTTGACATGAATTTTGAAATCATACAAAATCGTAAAAATTGTATATTGTAAGAAATTTAAAGTTTTAAATCGGGCTTTTATGGTATTTTAAGGTTTAAAGATTTAATAGTAAAATCAAGATCAGAACCTATAGGTAATATCGTAAAATCGTAAGATTTTAAGATTAAAATCGGGATTTTGACTACATTGTTCCCAGTCTTTGGTTTCGTTTCTTTTCGTCTGTGGATGTTCCTCCCATTTGTGGGTTTTCTTCCTCCCCTTTGTGGGATGATCTTTTTCCCTCTAATTTGATTTTTTCCCTCTAATTTTAAAGTTTTAAATCGGGCTTTTATGGGATTTTAAGGTTCAAAGATTTAATAGTAAAATCAAGATCAGAACCCATAAGTAATATCGTAAAATCGTAAGATTTTAAGATTAAAATCGGGATTTTGACTACATTGTTCCCAGTCTTTGGTTTCGTTTCTTTTCGTCTGTGGATGTTCCTCCCATTTGTGGGTTTCCTTCCTCCCCTTTGTGGGATGATCTTTCTCCCTCTAATTTGATTTTTTCATATGTGGAGATGTGTGTGCTCTAAGATGCAAAGGAGGCTAGATCTTTTAGATCTTGCTTATCTTCTCCTTATCCTTCTACTATCTACCTCCTTGTTTCACTTTGCAGGTGCTTGTGATTCGAAGATGCGGCCCTCAGCTTGGACTCGGCTGGAGAGGTTGAAGACAAAAGTTTTTTTCCATTGTTTTCACCGTCTGTCATCCGGTTGCTCTAATGTGTTCTCTTGTGAATGGTCGCCGAGATGCAGACGACGATTGGCTCGAGGAGGCTTGTCTGAAGGTTCTCCCTTCCTCATCCCTCCACTAGGGGTGTCTAGTTCATGTGGATTTGGCTAGTGGCGGCGGCAGTCCATTTTTCCAACGACGGTGGCGGAGGTTTCAGACTAGAGGGTGGCATTGGACGACTAGAGTTAGAAGACTAAAGCTCTGTTTTTGGCCCATGGTCTGAGCTCTATTGAGTCTCTGGACTTTTGTTTGGGCTTGTGTTTAGTCTTTTAAGTCTATTGTCGTTTAATTGCCTTTAAACGTTTCCACTGTTTTTGGTCCATGAAATAATCTTGTAAAACAAAAAGACATTAGCAGCACTGCTCACGTTCACACACGGTAGGTTTTAACTTTTAACTTTTAAGGCTAGCTGTCCTACTAAAGGTTTGGAGAGAGCACACCAAAATTGTCAAACCGGTTTAAGCCATTGAGTCGTTCAAGAGGTTTAATGTTCTGATCGGGGTCTGACCGGTTTGAGCCGTTTTAGACGTTTTCTAAATATATATACAAATAAGCTAGTAATTAAAAATTTAATAACTAAAATAAAATTCATCTTTTTTTTTATGAATCTGCGGGATCTTATTCATCAAAAAAGTGCTTTTGTAATTAAAAATTTAATAACTAAAATAAAATTCATTTTTTTTTATGAATCTGCGGGATCTTATTCATCAAAAAAGTGCTTTTGCTAGCAACACCCTTGCTAGCTAGGGGAATATCACCATAAAACGCCAAAGACATCAAAGAAAACAATCAAAAACAAAACCTACCTCTGAGACAGATTTAAGCTAGTCATTCCAAAACAGATTCACCCTATCTCTCCCAAGTACATACACAATCTCAGCTTTTATACCAGACACCACTTCTTGAAAACCCCTCACCTTATCACCATATAGTCGACGACATCTTTCCTTCCAAGTCTGACTGATCCATGTTTGCCAGATAAACCTCCATGCTTCAGCTTCTTCTGTTTGCTTGTCATACTTCTCCAGCAGCCATGAAACCATGGTCTCCCATGTTTGGAACTCGGGGACCTGCATAGGACCTTTAAACAAGTCGTCAAGAATCTGCCTAGTAAAGGGGCAAAGAACAAACAGATGCTGCCTACTTTCAAGTCCTCCCCCACAATGAACACAATTCAATGATCCCTGGAATCCCCATTTTTGCATTTTCTCCTTAGTTTGTATACTTCCTCGGATTACCAGCCAAGTAATCAGTCGATTACTTGGTATAGCCACACCCTTCCAGATTAATTTCCACCAAGCAACCCTCTGCTGAGCAGGTCTAACAAGCTGCCAGACTCTTTTAATAGAGAATCGAGGCATTGGTAACCCATCAAGTAATAAAACACCATCCTTGTTTGAAATAAAAGGAGCTATTCTGCTTCTGAGTTTCAGAATTTTGCACCAATTCCAGGATCCTAAAGTGCAGTTATAGGAGTAGAAGCATATCCCCTTCAGTTTGTATTTGGTGATCCATGCCACCCACAAAGACCCCTCTTGGAGCAAAATCTGCCAAATATGTCTTGTAGCACAGGCCTGATTCCAGCTATTCATGTCCCTAAAACCAAGGCCTCCTTCCCTTTTAGGATAGGTAATTTTCTTCCATGCAACATTAGCTCTAAGCTTCACCCCTCTTTCCACTCCCCATATGAAGTTACTACACAATCTCTCTACCTCTTTAATCACAGCTTTAGGTAAAAGGAAGACAGACATCCAGAATTGGTTCAAACTGTAGAGGACAGTACCCACTAGCTCAATTCTCCCTGCATAAGACAATGATTTTGCTTTCCAAGCTGTAATTTTTGCAACTATCTTCTCTATAAGCGGTTTACAGGTTGTTAAACTCAATTTGCCAGCTATCAGTGGAACCCCCAAGTATCTGACAGGGAATTCCCCCACTTTATAACCATATCTTTCAGCTCTAATTACCCTTTCTCCCTGAGATAACCCTCCAAAGAATAGTTCACATTTACTAGGGTTTGACTTCAATCCAGAAAGCTTTCTAAACTGAACAAGAATTCTCTGCAACTCCTATATCCCATAATTGGATGCATCAGTAAAGACCAGCAGGTCATCAGCGAAACAGAGGTGGGTAAGTTTAAATCCTTTGCACATTGGGTGATATGGGAACCTCCCAGCAATAGCCGATTGATCAATCAGACAAGTAAATATCTCCATGGCAACTGCAAATAGGTAGGGGGACAGGGGATCCCCTTGCCTAAACCCTCTCTTGGAAGGAAAATAACCAACTAAGCCCCCATTGAAACACACACTCAGCATTGGGGTACTGACACACATCCTTATCCAAGTAATAAATCTATCTGGGAATCCCATACATTTCAGAACTTGAAAAATGAAGGACCAGTCAACCGAATCAAATGCTTTCATTAGATCGATTTTTAGAGCACATCTAGGGGAGATATTAGTATGGGAATATTTGCTGACTAGTTCATGAGCCATTAATATATTTTCCCCTATAAGTCTCCCCTTAACAAAAGCAGTTTGGTTTTTGCTGATCAGGGCAGGGAGCAGGGGGCTTAACCAATTAGCAATAAGCTTTGAAATGCATTTATACAAAATGTTGCAACAAGAGATTGGCCTGAAGTTTCTCATATCATCTGGATTTGGTGTTTTAGGGATCAAGGTGAGAATAGTTGCATTCACTTGTTTTGGCACCCTATCTTGTTCAAAGCAAAATTGAATAGCAGCAGTTACCTCAGAGCCGATGATTGGCCAAGCATATTGAAAGAAAGCCGTAGAGAAACCATCTGGACCAGGACTCTTATCTCCATCCATTTTGAATATAACATCCTTAATCTGCTGCTCTGTGAAAGAGTCACAAATATCTTCAGTTTGTTCCACATTGAGCTTCCATT